TCTAACGCTACTTTCAGAGAATTCTTTTTCTCTGAAGAGTAGGATCAATTCAATTGGTAGAATATGATACAAAAACTAAGGAATCTATACCTTCACTTATAAAGGCATTGCACATATTTGATTACAGTGTTTCACTAATTGTGATAGTTAGAAGGACCGCATCACTCTTTTCATGCATAATTAACATGCCAAAGCTAGATTTTAATATAGCTTCTCTAAGCCAAGAACATTTTGGAAAAAGTAATTGAGAACAATACCAAGAATTTTTCGGAATTATTCCATCATTGATTCCTATACCGAATCAGTTTTCTGGGCTCTTGGATTTGGGCATTGAGTGATCTGAGGCTCGTGATTCATTTTCAGACTTAAATAGGATGAATGTTGGATTGAAGTCAAGGACATGTGTGTTTCATTGAATCCTTCAAGAAAGAATTGGGATATAAATGCAATAGATCAGCTACAGTATGTACACCGGATCCAAAATGCTTCATCAAGGATTTGTATTCTTGTCTTTTGGAAAGAAAACAATTGAGCTATATCTCTCTTATAAAACTATTTGCTTGGTTTTATAAGAAAGATATTTGCTTGGTTTTGCAAGATGACAATCTGCATACCATTGTATTCAAATTCAGGTGAGGTGAGTTTTAGACATCTTAAATATAGCAATATGTAATAAAAAATCTTACGCTTCATACCCTTTTAGCAAAATTTAGCATACAATTGTTGATAGCAGAAACCAGCTCAAGTTTTTCTCATTTGTGTCCAAGTATCAAATGCACAGTGGATTACAAGGGCTTTAACCAAAGAGTTAAAGTCAAGCATATTTTCTACAATAGACAACATTTTTGTCAGTAAATCATTACATTAATTCTTCAAAATGAGAAATATCAAAATAGTTGATAATCAGTATTGTATGAAGTAATGTATATTTTAAAAAGCTTTTTTATTTAAGAGGTAAAGATGTCATCTCATATCAATAACAACACCCTTCAAGAAAGAGTTCCCAAACACTCTGAATATTGCAAACAGAACTGAGTTTCTTATTTCCTTGTTTAAATAATACTTTTAAAAAATAAATTAAAAATACTGACAAATATTTTAAAATATAAGACTGAAAGAAAAATATATCTCAGTTCCATTTGAAGATTTTCCTTTAAATTGGATGGTGTTTCTCGTTAGAAAATTTGCTCCTGGTAATTTTAGTCAAAGAAGTGAAGACATAAACATGAATAGTTTGATATTTTCTGAGAGTATGATTGGTAAAAGTAGAAATGCTCAGATTTTTTTTTCTTATTTAACTTTATCCTACTTATTGTAATATCGTCGATGTGGTACATAGATAATTAAAGCACTTTTAAATGCTTTATTAGTTAAGATGCATCAGCTGCAGGTTGAAGGAGTGCTATGCTCTAATAGTACAAAATAAAATATCAGTCTAATAACTCAGTGCTAAATTCACTGATCACTCCTATGTTTAGATGCTAGATTTTGATTCAGTATAATTCTGTGCCCAAAGTCACACCTGTGTAAGTACACATAAAACTTGGAAAAAAGTTATCATTCACAAGTCATAATTATGCACATCAAATGCTAACAAATCAACAGAAGTAACCTCTTTATCAGATGCTTAAATCCATCTTTTTAAATGCAATTAGGACCAAACCAAAGCTTCATGTTTTCCCTACTCTTTCTGGACTCTTGTCTCTGGGAAGCTCAAAGCATGACCTTGTTAGTACTCTGGCTGGGCCATCAAAGCAAAACTCAATCCAGGCTTTCTTTTGTCCTCTGCGTGGATAACTGGAGCAGTCTACATTTTTGGCTTAGGGTATGCAAAAATGCAATAGCCAATTCTCACAAACTGTACTGAATCAGCTAGATAACACACCTGTTAAAGTGCTATCCACCCTGCTATCCACTATTGAACTGTTATGAAATTCCTGCTCTATTTGCTGATCCCTATCTTGCATGTGTTCTGACTCACTGCTGAACTGTGCTGTCCTGATTTTGCATGTGCTGTGTGTGATAAGCAAAACAATTAATAGATTCCTCAGGTTTTGCTCTCTTTACTCTTCTGTAAGTCACCAGTCAGCAGGAAAAACATGCATCAGTCATGGGGCTACATACTTCATCTCTCATCTCCTTCCTATGCCTGTCTTTCTGTACCTGTTTTGTCATAATCTGAGTTGAATAAAGTAAAATAAAATAGAATCATGACTGGGAATGAGTCACAAGAAGAACTCCTACTTATAACATTCTGTCCTTCTTCTGCTTATAAAGACAGCAAATGCCAGCTTCCCATATTCTTCTGTGCAATGTTTGGAAGAGAATGGCAGAGGCTGGTCATCTTTTTCCATTGTTTCACTCTATTAGCCTTGTATTAAAGTGGCAATAGCCATAGAATTAAAGCAGATAACACGACTGCTGTCTGAGCCATCTAATGCTATTGCATAATTCTGCTCAACCACCAGTGCAGCGCTGCTGTGTCCAGCTCTTTAGGAGGACAATAATAGAATGCTGGCCAATGAATAGGCAAGTGGAGGGAGGAAGGGTGGCAATCCAGCTTCAGCCTGAAATAGTGCCCAAATACCACAATGATCCCATCCACTGCTAATCACTTGCTTTCCCTCCAAATAATGTGTGACGAAATGTTACAGACTATGCAAATCTTGTGGCTGCTTTAACACTGACACAGTTTATAATGAGTTGGAGCTTGGAGATAAAAGAAAGGCAACATCATGAGGATACAGCAGAAAAATGGATATTGCCAGGGCCTATTAGATGCAATGAGCTTTTTCATTGACAAAAATGTGAGAAAGACAGGAAGAGTTTGAATTAAAATCTGAGAATCAAAAATAAAATGACAGGCTACAAGAAGGGAGAAAGAAAACAGGTAAATATAACTTTTATATTTATGTAAAAAGCTTTGCAAAAAGAGTGGATGCATACATATAAACTTATTTCTAGCATTTCAAAGAGGCAAACTTTGGGCTTTTGATGGAAAAAACATAGGACAAGGCTTTAGTTGTAAAGAAAATATGTCTTTAGAGGGTAGGAGAAATGGCTTTCAGGGTTTTAACAGTTTTAAAACTTGGCAATGGCTATGAATAATGATGTAACTCCTCATCTAGTGCCACATATAATATCTTCAGTTAAAACAACAAAATATTGTAACTCTTTCTCTAATTTTAAAACTGGATAAGTAGTATGATATAATACAAATCCAAGAAACCTAAGCCAGGAAAACTAAATGAGATTAATTAAGAACAATTAAAAGAACCATTCAAACTGCTGTCCTTTTACATTAGGTGTCTCAAACTGAAATGAAAGTGGAAGCCATGTCATATAAAATGTGTTGCTCGGTGGGCTGCATTCATTCACATGCAAAATATAACACTAAATATTACCTACTAGTATTAAATATTAAACAGAACTATGTTATGTACCTTAAAACAGTGAAATATTGTATAATACAGCGTTATTTCAACAGAGATTCTAAAGACTGGAGTGCTGCAGAGCTGGGATATATGCTTTGTCTCTTAGAAACAAAAGTGATTCAAAGTAAAAGGAAATGAATGTGTTGAATCAGAGCACACAACAGTTTTCTGTGCATTTGTGGAGATATAATTCTGCATCAGTGTTGAGTGCATTTCTTGCACAAATACATCTCATTTGTTTTACAATTAATTCAACACCTTTCCCCCAGTTTTCATAAATTGTCCAAACTATTTCAGGTCAGGCTGGAATATAATCCAATATGCTTCTATCAAGGCAATGACATAAACGATGTGCAGTGCCAGTTCACTCATCTGGACTGCTATGCAAATCATTGGCCCTTATGCCATCAAATTATTCCGGCCCGATCACCTTCTGGGTCAAGGTGTGTTAGCTGAAGTAGTGGAAATTTCTCTTCATCTTATAAATAGTTGAATAGCTTGACTGAGTGAAACGTGAAGCGAACAAATATTCCATCTTCTCCTTGGAGAGCAGATCAGGATTCAGTCTATAATGCTGTCATGTCAACCATGTCAGCACTCTGTTCATGATGCCATGGCACAATAACTTATTCATGTGAACATAACAAACAAAGGTTTAGCTTAACCAAGCGATTCCTCTACCTGAAGCTTTCTCCTCAATTAGAAACAAAGGGGCTCATGGGCCATTTAATCTTCATTAGAAATAAACTGTATAGTCTACAGTGCTTCCATAAAATGCAACTGTAGAAACATGACTGCCAGATCTAGCACAAGGGCACAAGGGTATTAGATTATTAGCAGCCAAATTTAGGGGCAGGGACCAATTTCCTAGGAAAATTACATTTCCCTTATGTTCTTGTTTATATATCAGCCTATTAACAGACATGGGAATAAAGGGGTTGTTCTTTGACTCTTGCTTCTGATATCCTCAGAGGGATGTACATCAAAGACTTTAAAAATCACAGGGAAATGGTAAGCGGTTTCTTAGCACCCTGTCCTCCCCCCCATAATGGTTTCAGCCTAGCTGAAAAGGAAGAAATTAAATAGTAGAATTTTATAAGAGGCTGGAGTACAAGGACATGCTAAATACAATCTATTGTAACTTACTCATTTTTAATTAATGGAACCATGTCATAGCTGTGGGTGTCAGTCTCTGGAAAAGAATGCCATTAAGCAACCATCCTTGCATCTTGGCAACACATCATCATCTAGTGGTAAAATAGAGGCCAGCTCAGGCATTAAAACATCTCTGAAAAGGCTAGTTTTGATCCTCTATGCATAGCTCAGTCACTGAATAAACTGTTCTTAGCAAAAAAAGAAATTAGTTTATTTCCATCAATTTCTATAAAGCAATGTCATAAAGGAAGGGAGGAAAAAGGAGAAGGTAAAGTTATGGACATTCAATTTTAGACACTTATGATCTTACAAGATATGTGGAAGTAATTTCTTTTGAAATAAATGGAATTATCAGAGTGCATCCTCTTAACCTGCTGTTTTACTCTGGACAGGAAGAGAATTATCTGAAAGAGAATCCAGGGAAAGACTGACAGCATTACTGAAAGAGGACCCAGGATCCTAAAATCTGTCTGACAGCATTACTTATGACAACTATCTCTTTTGTTGGATGGTCTGTCCCATATTAATGACTCAGGGGGTGAGTGGGTGGGTATGAATAGTTGACTATTTTCTTTGATGCCATGTGTATGTGTGTGTGTGTGTGTGTGTGTGTGTGTGTGTGTGTGTGTGTATACATGTGTATTAGCACATCTTCAAGTTAGTTTTTGTTTCCTGGAAATTGCCTGAACTAGTCCTTGCAGTTTTCTTGGCAAGATTTCAGAAGTGGTTTTCTATTGCTTGCTTTATAGTGCTGAGAAAGAGTGATTGTCCAAGATCAATCAGTTGGCTTCATGCCTAAGGTGAGACTAGAACTCAAGGTTTCCTGGCTTCTAGCTTAGTGCTTTAACCTCTACACTAAAATGAGTCTTATGCCTTGAACACTATTTAAAATTAGAGTTCCATTTGTATGTAGATTATGATCCAGGTCAGGGGTGGGATTCTAATTTTCTAACAACTGGTTCTGTGGGTGTGGCTAGATGGGCATGGCTAGGTGCATGTGACCATGGGACTAGGTGGGTGTGGCTTCTTTTTTTGCAGCCCCCCCACATTTTTTGGGTCTTCTGGGCCTCAGGGAAACTACCTGGGGGGGCATTTTTGCTCCCAGAAGGCTTCCCTGGGGCTCAGGAAGGAAAAAAAACTGAGCACCAGGGAGGCATGCAGCAACCCCCTGTGCTCCATCTTAGGGCCTTCTACACCTCAGGGAAGCCTCATGGGTGAAGCAGTAAGTAAGCGAGGGGAATCCCAGCACAGCTAATCATAGGAACAGCTGATGGTCAGGATGGAGACAAAAAGAAATACCTTAAGGAGTAGACTGGGTGGGGCAATGTTGCACAAGCATGATAAGGACTGACTGGGCAGGGAGGGGAGGGTGGAGAGGGGCGTGGCCAGCCAGGGGCACAATATGTCAGTTCTCCAAACTGCGCAGAATCAAAACAACTGATTTTATAGAACTGGTCCAAACTGGTAGAATCCCACCCCTGATCCAGGTGCTTCTTCCTTGATAGTCATGCAAATATTGCAAATGCCTGGAAGCTTCATTAGATAGAAACCTTGATAATAGCAATAGTAAAAGGACTTAGACTTATATACCACTTCACAGTGCTTTACAGCCGTCTCTAAGTGGTTTACAGAATCACCATATTGCCCCAGTGGTGGACTGCTGGATGGTTGGCGGGGTTCAGGCAAACCCCTAGCTGTGATCTTTGCCAGGGCTTGCCCACCTGCCCTTGTGCTATGCTTTCCCTAAATAATTAACTTTTCCCCTGCCCAGGCTGCCCAGGTAAGTTCCACGCTGCCCTGCTATACTCACCAGAGCTGCCTGAGTCAATTAGCTGCCTGTTTGAAGCTGCGTTTCAGCTCCAAAGCAGTACATGTGAGTGAAGGGAGTACACGCATGCTCACGACCAGCAAATCCTTTGTCAACAAATGTGCAGCCCACCTCTGTATTGCCCCTAACAATCTGGGTCCTCATTTTACTGACCTCAAAAGGATGAAAGACTGAGTCAACACTGAGCTAGTCAGGATCAAAGTCTTGGGAGTAAGCAGTGAATTAGCCTGCAATACTGCATTCTAACCACTATGCCCACAATAATCTACAGTAAGTGCTTGTATAATAACACCAGTGCATAAAATAATAGCTCACTTACTATATATATAGGTCTTAAGGAGATCACTTGATCTTCTCTGTGGGGTGCATGTATCAGGATTGGAGGTTTTGGTCAAAAGGATGAAAGTAGTATTGTGCTACCATGGTCCAACCTCTGCCATTTTGCACATTCAACCCTGCTTTAACCTCCCACATTATCTTCTTTGATTCTTTTCAGGCCCTTTTGGATAGCCCCCATTCCTAACTCCATGTTGAAATACATTCTTCACTTCTCAATCATGCCTGAATAGGATCTCAGTCTGAGTACATTGAAGACTTCTTTGGCAATTGCCCTTAGTTAACCTTTTCACAAGTCTAATTTTAGGTATCCATTCAATAGAAGTGTAGAGAAACTTTGTATGACTATGTCAGTATGTTATCCCTGCAGTACTACAAATAGTTCTCTATGCCTTCTGGGGCATCTTTTTTTATTTGTTATCAGAAGTTCAGATGGCTGCTGATATCTCAGCAGGAAGGGTTCAGGCTCACAGCTTGGAGCTGGTGTCCCATTTTAAGATTTCATTGCTAGGAATCTTTAAGTGAACCCAATACTTTTTTATCACAGTCTAAATTGGATTCTAAGGCTACAGTAGTGAACAGTTCAATTTGTTTTTTGGCTAACAAAAGTACTCATTTTTCCTGAAGCATGACATTGTAGTTTCAGACTCTCATGCCAAATTCCTCTTCTCTGAGACTTCTATTACACAATTAAATAAATTGCTTAGTGGTCACACAATACTGGAATGGAAAGAGCATCATTTGCTGTCAGTATACAAAAGCATGCATCTGTGAGGAGATAATGTTAGATTTATGTATGAGATAGGAGGATAGTATCTGTAGTTCTTGATTGATTGATTGATTGATTTACATAGCATTTAAAAACATCTGTCTCAGAATGACTTTGGGTACTTTACATTATAAAAATATAATATTACATAAAAATAAAAAAGCCAGAAGAAGCAGACAATGTACTTAAACAGATTCTTATGGAGCTGGCAAAATCTATTATTTCACTTCATGTTAAAAAAACTGGACTCCTTATTTCAAACTTTTGTGAGATTATAGTTAGATTTATATTCTGTATCTGGTGAATCTGCTGTTAATGACATACAAAGACCCTCCACATCCTTTCCTTGAAATATATTTAATTAGCAAAACTTAGTAAACTGAGAGGGATTAAGCATGTTGTGGAAATAGGAATTATTTTTATTTATGTATATGTGTGGCATTCCTATTTTAAAATAACTGGATGCCATGCTCATCAATTAAAACAAAAAATACATTATTAAATAAAATAAAACAAATAAAATTATAATACATTTAAAATATTCAATATTGAGTGCACATAGGCAAATATTACAGATGGATGAGTTAAAACTATTGCTTTGAAACAAATTGAAGGTGCAGATGCCTAAATATTCTGCTTTCCATTCTAATGACTATTCTCTGCCCCATTGCAGATGCCAGATCAAGGGATTCCAAGGGAAAGACTATACAATGATCACCCGGATTCATGTTTCCAATGAGGGACAGTCACAGAATAGTCAGATTGGATATAAGGAAAGATAACACTTGGTGAAATGGTATAAGGAAAAGATCAGCCAGGAATGTTTTCCCACGAGGCTCTCAAATACATCTAATATTCTTTCTCCAATGTAAAAACATATTTAAAAGAAAAAGAACTATGCAGGCAAGAAAAGGAAAGAAAGAAAAAGATAGAAAGACTAGTGACTTGACAACTTGCTGTGGCCAACTCACCATGGCCAGTTCACCACTGCCAACTTGCCACTGCCAACTTGCCACAGGACAACTCCACACGGCCAACTTGCTGTGAGAACAATTTGCTGTAGCTGGCCGGAAAGAGAGCCAGGCAGGCGGGCAGTGAGCAGGCGGTCAGAGTGCAGAGCACATTGGGGAGGAAGTTGGGGAGGTAACAGCAGTCAGCGGCTTCCCATTTTCACAACTCCCTTTGGCCCCATGGTGGCTATGATCCTGGTGCACCACAGCTCATGCTGCCATTGCACTGGGCATAGCGCTGCTGTAGATGCCACTCCCTGACTGGGTGCAAAGCTGCTATGAAGTTGCCACCATGCCAGTGGCAAGGGGATGAAAATGGGAAGCCCCCGGTTGCTGCCATCTCCCTGTTGCCCACTCTGCCCTCCACCATTCTCATCCTCTTCCACTCAGAGTCCAATATAGTAATAGCAACAGGATATGTGGGAAAATGAAAAGCGGTGATGACTCCCCTGGACACTTCCCCCGATACCTCTCTAGATGTCACCTCCGGGGAGGATGAACCAGTTCTAGGGACATCTGGAGGGGAGTTGGTCAATGGCTCCAAGCAGCCATCTGAGAAGGATTTGGCTGAAACACGGCTGCAGCAGGAGAGCTTGAGGCTTCAGGTAGAGAAAGCATGCAGCTGCAGCCAGTCAAATGATGAGGAAGAGGAGCTGCCTTCTGCACATGTAGGGCAAAGAAAAGGCAGGGGCAGAGAAGGTCAGCCAGATTACTCATGAGGAGAAAGCCTCACCATTCTTGTTGGGTTGCACCAGAAGCTGCCTATTTAGGATGGAAGCACAGGATGGAAGCAATGCTGGGAACAATGTGTTCATTTCCTAGCTGTGTGTTTTCTGGTCATAGTGATTCTTGTCTTGCTTTGGATTGACAGCGTGCCTTGACTTGGATCGTGCCTTGTGAACTCTGGACTTTTGTTGCCTCACAAACCCTCTTTGTATTGTGGATTTAATTTTGCCTGGTGGATTTTATTTTGATTGGGAAACTTTCAAGAGTCTTGTGGACTCACAGCCATTCTGTGAACTAGCATTAGTCTGCTTGTGGCTGGACTTAATTGAAACAGTTCTGGGTTTTTGGTAAAAGGACTTTGCTGGGGAAAATCAATAAAACCACCAAACCACAGTTATTTGTGTGAGAGTGGGACAGCACAAAAGCAGCCAGTCTCTGCCACCTCCCTGAACCAAAGGCTAGATAAATGAATTATTGTTGAAACTTGTTGCCTCATTTAGCTATCAACCCTGCATGCATTGATTCTACCCTGGAATCAAAACAACCTGTGACAATATTCTGTAGCACTAATTTTAAAAGAGATCAGGGAATCAGTTGAGATCCTGATTTAGACAATATCTACCATTTATGTTACCTGTGAACTTATTGTGAAATAAAAAGAGAGATTTCAATATTGCTCCAAATATTTGAAAGCCAAATTGAATAAAAATATCCTTTGTAGAATGCTTACTCTGTCTCACATTTATATTCATATTATTGGTTGGAATTGAATTTCTTTTCTCTTTTCCTACCATTCTTCTGAAATTGTATTATGCATATTGCATTTAAACTAAAATAATAATTTGGGAAATATCACTACTATCCCTATCACAATTACTAATTTGCATCCTGTATAACCCTAAAATTCTAAATATTATTTTTTCAAATTTTCAAGAGTCTCAAAAAGAGTACCCTTTGCCTCTCTACCGACATTTCCAAGTGGAAGAAGACATTACAGGAGAGAATATGGGAAGGTATTCCATAGTTCTATTTTTATACAGCTTGTTTATTGTTTACTCGTGTAACAAGGGTGATTGCTTGTTTCTGCAATCCTGAAAGATTTAAATTTCCCCCTTTCTTTTGATATATGGATGACGTTCCTGAGCTCTAATAAACATTGCTGACAGTCAATGTGTTTGAATAATCTGTTCTTTTCCAAGATCTATTTTTCCACTGTTATCAGCCTTTTTCTTACCCATTTTTTCTTTACAAAAATCAGCTATGCTGAATAGGTAGCAACCCTTTGTGAACTCTGCTCCTGGCCTTCCTTGCTGATAAATCTTTCAAAACAAGAATATTTACAAAGTGATTCTGTTAAGGCAATAAAGCAAATGAGGCTGATATTTAACACCTGTATTTTGTGTTTCATCCCAATAGGAAGAAATCTTATGCAGTTGTCAGATCTGTTCCTTCCAACCCATATTGTCATCTCTGACGAATGGAGCTATTAGGATTTTTAGCAGAAGAATTTGTCAGCACCCACTGCTTGTGAGATTCATTCATAGCTGATTTCAGGGACTGAACTTGGAAAAACAACATGAGCATCGTATGAATGTTACAGTTTCTTCACAGAAAAGATGTTTTTATGGGAACCAATTAACTGTAGATTAATTCCTTTCCTTTTAAATCGTTTCTTAACTGTTCTAGAATTCTGTGATTCATTGTCTGCTTCCACACATAGCAACACCAAAAAGACCTCTTTGAATTGTAAAATGTATTATTATTTTATAAGCAGTACCAAATAGAGTTCACCCTCTATTTGGTATGATTAGATAAAGCCGGTAGCTTAAACCATTGAGAAAAAGAGAGAGGGAAGCTTAAATAATACCTCTGTGTAATAAATAGATGAGCAGCAGGGCATGTTTCTGCTACTTTATACATTTTAATGTGTGAGCTTAGCTGTTTGTGATTCCCATGCTGCTGATAATAAAACAATTCTGCTGCAAGTGACACAATCAAATAGAACAAGACAATTTCCCCTGCCTTAGTCTGACTTCCTGTTATTTTTCCAAATGTGTTCTATTCTTTCTCCTATTTCCCTCACCCTCCCTGTGCTAAAAATATAAAGTGAACATTTAAAACAGCAGAGCTGTTTTCAGCCTCTTCTCTTCTCTATTCTGGTTTCAGTTTACACTTTTGTCTGGCTTTTTGCCAGAATGGAGCTCAGCAAATAATAAATATCCATGGATTTCTGCCTGCATTGAAGGATAACCCCATCCATTACTCAGCCTTCACAGCCATAATTGTATACTTAGCGTTGTCAATGTCTGCATTGGTTTTTAGGCCTCTGTATTGACGGAGAATATAAAGGCGATTAAGAGAGATTTGGGGAAGGCCAGGAAAGGAATGGAAGGCATATAGAGATAGCTAGCAGGTCAGCAGCCTCCTTATCTCATAAATGGAAACTGCCCAGAGAGCAAAAAAGATGCATTTCAAATCCTTCACAGTGGCTGTTATGATTTCCAAGATTTTATATTTATCCCAAGACTAGTACTGAAAATATTTGACTGAAATCTGTATTTCTTGCTTGCTTGATCTTGTTCAACTGTGTTGAATTGTAGCTTCAACAATTTGACCAAGCCAGAAACAACTGTGCTATCTACTTGTCTGTTTTATACTACCCATCTCAAGCTGTACTTATTTGAGATGGGTAGGTAATAACAACAGTAGCTGTACTAACCTAATTTTAAACAAACGGTTTATAGTCCAGATGCTATACACTTCAGAAACTTCTGAGTGGGTGTTGTACCTTTTGAATATTAAATCTACTGAATGATTTCATTGGGCTTAGGGTCTACCTCATGGCTTTTCCCCCTCCATTCGTTGAAAGATGGGCATAAATTGGGCATAAATTCTACTGGCCTGATGGATAGACTATTCTACTTTAGGGATAAAACTGAAATTTGATGCTGCCCTTACAGTTAATAATCACAGTTAGTGGTCTGTTCTAGCTTCATTTCCTCTCCCACTCAGTTTTACCTGACAAAAAAAAACAAAACAAGCATTGCCATCCTTAATGTGTAGAGGGGAGATAATGGAGAGGCGGGAACAACAGCTACTTGGAATTTGTCTGAGTGATGGGTTGTTAGACTAGGGACTTTGTACTCTGTTGACACGTCATTTATGCTACTTTGTAGTTTGGGATTGATATTTTTATTAAAGAGCTTTGGAGCAGTTTCCTTAAATATATATCCAGCACTCTCCTATCAGGGATCCCATCCCCCAAATAATTTAGTTGATAGATCTCACATGGAATGGAAGAGAAAGGTAATGGAGTGCTCCTACTGCATCATATATCTCTGTTCTGCATATATGTCAGCCAGGTTCTTATTGGAACACAGGTTTAGTGGTGTTCCATACTAGCAGGCTTGTAGGCCTGCATTCCTATTGGTCCGGAAAAGCCGGGCTGTGATTGGACAAAACTAAGCGTTCTGATTGGTTCTTATTCAGGTGCCGCGATTGGGTAAAACCAAGCGCGGCAAGCTCAAATACATGTCATAGGCTCCTAGCCGCAGCCAGCTCTATAAAAGGAGCTACCTCGGCTGGGAGTCTTGTCTCAGTATCTGGTTTCCTAATAAAGAGCTGTTGTCACTATTTCGAGTCTCGTCTCTCCTTGGGACCCACCGCCCAGACTTAACAAGTGGTCTTTCAGAAAAGAACTAAAGCCATGTATAGAGAGAGCCTATAGCTGGATGACCTATACTAGAGTTTGAAATCTAATCTCTTATGCAAGCCAAAATGATCGCTAAGGACCAATGGATCAAAAAGGGGTGGGTTTCCTATAGCAATTTAAAAATCCCATTGGAACTGGAGACATCCAACTCCCCCAGCCACATCTATCAATATTATTAAAGACACATTGCAGACTATTCATATGTCAAGACCGAAAAAAATAGATTTGTGCTACCTCTGGAGCAGAATAAAACCAAAATCATGAGGATTAAAAAAATGGTGAGATGTGCAGTGGTTAGTTAGAGGTAAGGGTGAACCCTAATGTGTTCCTAAATGTGCAATAGTAGCAGCTGTTGTTACTTTAGGCATATTGCTTGGATTCAGATTGCATGTCTTGAACACTGTACAAACATAACTGTCAGCTTTGGAAGCCATATTAGCCAATAACACTGACAATGACACTGAATACTTTTCCTGTGGCTTTTCTCTGCTTCTTTGTTTAAAAAACATGCATCAAATTTTATTAGTGAACATATTTCCCAAATGCATTATCTGGCCTTTAGATCACTGTAGTTTTTGCATCAGTGTTGAATAGGATACTCTATTTCTCTGAAAACATAAGAACTCTTTTCTACTGAAGAAAAATGACTGAAGTTCACTTTGCACAACAGATGTGTTTCTAAAATAGACATTTAGAGGGAAGAAGTCAGATGACACTTCCTGGCTCTGTCCCTACCATCCAGCTGGAGTTCTGAACATATCATATCTATATAAACATGTCTTTTCTGTTGATAAGGCTGGATTCGAGAAAACTCAAGGTCCTCTCTGGTCTACAAGGCTTATCTAGCTATAGTGCATAGTTACAGGATCCATCCAGACATTTCACAAAAGAGATATGAGAAGAAAGTTAAAACAGCACTTCCATTTGTTTATTCTAGTTGCAGGGTGAATAGGGCTGTTTTTATATATTTATTTTATAGATTATATATATATAACAGACTATATATAACAGATTATATCTTATCATTATGTATCTAAGTATACAACCAAACAAAACAGGTACAGACTTCAATGGACAGTTAAAACAAGTGCAACCAGCATGTCTTCAGTTGAGGACCTGTATACTTCACAGGTCAGAAAGAGGGCTGAGAAAATATCTACAGACCCCTCACATCCTATACATAAACAGTTTAAATTCCTCCCCTCAGGATGCCACTATAGGGCATTGCATGCCAAAACAACTGGACACAAAGATAGTTTCCCCCTTCATGGCATCACTTTGCTGAACACCTAATTACTACAGTCCTGTCTTATGTTTAAGGATATTTACCCATGTAGCATTACTATTATCCTTCTCATCTTTCCTTTTACCTTCTATGATTGGTATCTTATGATTATATTGCTTTGTTGTTTGTACGTACAGTGAGAGCTTATGCACTGGAGACAAATTCCTTCAGTGTCCAAATCACAGTTGGCAAATAAAGAATTCTATTTTATTTTATTAAATAATTTATTTATATTAGTGATGCAACAATTAAATACTGAATTTTCAAAATGAATGTATGAACAAATAGGCTTCTGAGAATTATTCTGGGAACTATGATTAAAAAGTTATTAAGAAATAGTGTAAAACTCAAATATTCCTTTCTCTTTCATAGTTGAATAACACACTATTTTTACATCATTTCTATTGCTTTAGAAATGGTGTTTCTAGTAAAGATGTGCTGATTTTCCATTTGTAATCTCCTTCCTGTTTCCATATAGTAAACTTTGCTAGAGGGAAATGCAGAAGCTGAAATTCAAATAATCTGAAATAGCAAAATGAGTGAAATGTGTTTTTAACAGTTAGCTAGCCAAGCTTAACTCATTTCCCAAAGCTAAACAGGGTCAAATAAGGCCATCCGGAAATGTCAGTGAAGTAGGTGAAAACTAAAACTAAAACAAAGCAAAGCAGAATAAGGCAATGGCAAATCACTTGTATATGGAAATTAAGACAGTCAAAGGGTATGTCCATGATGTTGCCAGGAGTCTGTCCTACTCTATTCAAGAGAATCACAACCTTTCACTTACAAGACAGATATATTTCAATGTTGCATGGCATTCTTCATCTGTATTTCTATAAAGAAACCTGTTTTTCTTAATATGTGGAAACTTAAAGCCAAACTTCATTCTCTGTGTGAGTTAACTATCCCAACATTTTTCTCTTTATACAGGTAGTCCTTGACTTAGTACCATTCATTTAGTGACCTTTTGAAGTTACAATGGCACTGAAAAAAGTGACTTATGACCAGTTTTCACACTTACAACCATTGCAGTATCCCCACATCACATGATCAAAATCCAGGTGCTTGGCAAATTGCATGCATTTATGACAGTTGCACTGTCCTGGGGTCATGTGATCACCATTTGTAACCTTCCTGTGGCAGAGCAGTGGTTAGAGTACAGAATTGCAGGCTGACTCTGCCCACTGCCACAAGTTCAGTCCTAACCAATGCAAGGTTGACTCAGCTTTCCATCCTACTGAGGTTGGTAAAGTGAGGATCCAGATTGTTGGGAGCAATATGCTGACTCTGTAAACTGCTTAGAGAGGGTTGCAAAGTATTATGAAGCAGTATATAAATGTTATTGCTATTCCCAGCCAGTTTCCAGCAAGGAAAGGCAATGGAGAAAGCCAGATTTGTTTAGTGACCATATGATTCACTTAATAACAGCAGTGATTCACTTAACCACTTTGACAAAAAAGATTGTAAAATGGAGCAAAACTCACTTAACATCTGCCTTACTTAGCAACAGAAATGTTGGGCTCAATTGTGGTTATGAGTTGAGGACTATCTGTACCATTCATTCATTCATTCACATTTCTACAACTGCCATCAAACATGCAAACTCTGAACAGTGTACATAATAATAATTATATAAAGTATATAAAAACTATCAATTCAACCAGCTGGAATTTAAAAATAAAAACAAGATAAAGACAATAATCAAAGCATCAGCAAAACATACAGTGGTTGTACAGGATTTCATTAACTGCCATTCAGCCATCTAACAGGCTCCTCTCCATCATGGGATCCCAAACTACTTGCACAAACCATGTTTTAAGAGATTTCCAGAAAGCCAACAGGGTTGGGGCCTTTGGGACTCTTTACATTCAATCCATGTTCTTTTAATATCCTTCATTCTTGAACCTTTCTTGTTTTAGTACATAAGCTATGTAATTAACCCCTTCCCTAACCTGGTCTCTCCACTGTTACTGAAATCACTGTACAGA